GTGGTGATGGTTGCCCAGTAATGTGAACATACACATAGGGTAATGCAGGCTGCTGCCCAGGAAAGTGGAGTCGACCATGGAAGCCCCATTCAGTCAAGAAATGGATGTCACATATGAATTCAGGCCAGAAGGTGACATCAGCACCAGCACAGGGTGACACAGTTATGTGGTGCTTCTGTTCCAGGTGAACTGAAGAGTGCAGGAGGCCCAGAAAGCTCGGAGGAGGCAGAGATAAGTGTGGGAAGGACTAGAGTCCAGGGGGGAATATTTGAAGGCAGAGGTCAAAGTGCCACTCATCACAATTGGGGGTTTCTCTTTATAGAAAAGAATCAAAGTTATGAATATAAACTTAGATATAGCAATGCCTACGGCCTTGGAGTTTTTGCAGAGGGGAATCCCATAAATACTCCTCTTCCTGGGAGGCCCAAGACTCAGGAGGTCTCAGGGGGGTTGCAAAGTGGAAAGGCAGTTGGCAAACTCACCTATGCCAGGCCCTCTGGGAGCTCCTTGAGGCTCTGTGCCTCTCACATCTCGTGAGTGAACATGTTTTTATCCAGAGTCGCTGAAGGAATTGCAAACAAGAGGCATTGTGAATACTCCCCAAGCAGTGCTGGCTAGCACCAGACATGCACCTGGACTCACCGAAATTTAGGGGACACCTTATATTGCTCTGGCCTCAGAGGGTGTGTGGTCAAGCTGGGGAAGTGAGCAAAGGAATGAAAAGATAAATCAGCAAGATGAGGTGGCACCCAGAGCTGACAGCAGCCCCACAGAGGAAGCTCAGGAGAAGGAGTCCACAGGGAGCTGGGCCATTCTTGGGATCCTCCACTTTGATTTCTTAACACCTTCGACCAGTTGCACAATATTAAAGTGTTTGTTTTCAGAAAGGTTTGTTCTTGTTTTTCAGAAGAGTCTCGTTGGGACTGGAGCTATGTGGTCAAGCACCAGTGTTGGCCAAGATGCTGGAAACAAGGCACAAGATGCCAGTTACTGTGCCAAGGACACAGATGTGAATGGACCCCCGTTGCAAGGGGTCACCAGGCTCCTGGGGAGATGGATCTCAATCCAACATCAGGTTCCTTGATTCCTCCCCATCCACCCTTTCAATTTCTTCTCCCTCTCCTACACAAACTTCTTTCTATTCCAGCCAGTAGGCTTCTTTGTCTCAGGTTCTCCTACCTTCCGGCCTGTGCCTGAACTGTTTCCCACACTAGGACTGCCCTGTCTACCTCCCTTTCTCTTTCTCTTGGCCTGTGAAAATCCTACCCATTTTTTAGGGCTTTGCTTCTTTCTCTCCTCCACCAGGAAGCCATGTGTGATCAGGAAGCTGACCTCTCCCACTCGTTTGTTTGTTTGTTTGTTTTTAAAGATTTTATTTATTTATTTGACAGAGAGAGACACAGCGAGAGAGGGGACACAAGCAGAGGGAGTGGGAGAGGGAGAAGCAGGCTTCCTGCCAAGCAGGGAGCCCGGTGCAGGGCTCAATCCCAGGACCCTGGGATCATGACCTGAGCCTAAGGCAGACGCTCAACAACTGAGCCACCCAGGCGCCCCTGACCTCTCCCACTCTTGAAATGTAATGGTGCTTACTGCTGACATCTCTCCCGTGGCACTTAATTATCATTTAATGGCAGGTATTAGTCATCTGAATGCCTGCCTGGAAGGGGGAGGGGAAGGTGACACCTTGTGTACCCTGAGCTGGAGCAGTGGCCACTTTCCCCCCAGAGCTAGCAGAGCCCCACCTGACTAACAGAGGAGATGGTCAATCTAAAACTGCTGGGGGGAAACGCAAACCCAGGAAAACACAGGCTGGGACCATCCTTCAAAAGCCAAGGTTTAAGGACAAAGTGTAAAGATAAGGTCAGGGGCAGGCCACTCCTCTTCTCCTCACGAGTGAGTCAAGCTTGCAGGAAAGGTTAGGACAAGTGTGCTCACCGTCCCCTCCACTGTGTCATAATCTGAATTGTGGTAGCAGTTATCATGGATGGTGTCAGGTGATAGGAGTCAGGGTGCTGACCAGAGTTGTCTCTGAAGTCATGATAGGTGGGGGAGGGGGCATCGATTTACATGATGGCAGATGAAAAGCTGATACTTGGCTTTACAACAAGTGGGAGCCAGTGATGGTTGACATATTAGTCAGGAGAGATCAGGCAATGCTGAGATAAACAGTCCTAAAGACTCAGTGGCTGGCAACAGCAGACGTTTCTTTCTCACTCATGCTACTTGCCCATCCCAACATCTGTGCTGTTCATTCAGGGACCCAGGCTGATGGAGCAGCCCCTATCTGGGACACTGCCAGGCTCCCAGCGGTGGGAAATGACAGATGGCAAAACCATGAGCTGCCTCCTAAAGCCTCTTTCCAGACATGACGTCGCATACCTTCCGCCCATATTCTGTTGGCTAAAGCAAATCGCAGGGTTGCCCTGAGTCTGACGGACAAGAATGTAAAATCCTTCCTCGGGGACAGGCCCATCTGATGCCAGGCCTGCTATCGGTGGCATGGGGAGGTCTAATCCACCCCAGGGAGGGAAAGCAAACATATTGAACAATAACACAACCTACCACAGCTGGGATCCTGGCAGTAGCTATGGTTTATGCTAATCAAGACCCATCAGCGAGGCGCCTGGGTGGCTCAGTCGGTTAAGCATCCCACTCTTGATTTCGGCTCGGGTCGTGATCTCAGGGCCATGAGACTGAGCCCTGGGTTGGGCCCTGCACTGGGCGTGGAGCCTGCTTAAGATTCTCTCTCTCCCTCTCCCTAGGCCCCTCCCCCCACCTCTGTCCTTCTCTTAAAAAAAAAATTTTTTTTTTAAAGAGCCATCAGTGACATTGGCAGACAGGATCAAACCCCTGGCAGGTCTTTCCCTTTCTTTTTTTTGGTAAGATGTTATTTATTCGCGAGAGAGAGAACCAGCACGAGAGAATGAGAGAGAGAGAGTACGAGTAGGGGGAGGGTAAGAGGGAGAGGGAGAAGTAGGCTCCTGCTGAGTGGAGAGGAAAGTCCTATAATAGAGAAACTAAACACTGCAGTTATGTTTGAAAAGTGGGGAGAGGGAGGGTCCTCCCAGAACTGAGGAGATTTGACAAAGTGCTCATGGAAGCACAGGAAGCGAATACTATCAATGGGAAGGAGTTACTTTCAATACTGGGTCCTGTGCCAACACAGGAAATGGTGTGAGAAGCAGAGATGGTAGCACCTGGTGACGTTTCTGGGCATTTCGTAGAAGAGATAAGACAGCAATGGAAAGAATTTTAGTACTGGTGGGAACTCGTAGAACATTGATCTTTCACGTCTTAAAGTGGGGTAATATTAAAGTGGGGTAATAAAAAAAATCAATTCACAGAAGAATATATACAGTTTGACTCCAAAAGGCTAATCTAAACAATATTTTGATTAGGATGCCACACATGTAGAGCAACGCTCTGAAGAAAATAAAAGTAATCATTAATATAAAATTCAGGAGCGTTATCGTGGAGGAAAGAGGTGTATGCAATCAGTGAGAATCATCTAGGGAGTTCTTAAGGGATGTGATGTTCAATTTCCTAGGCTGGATAGTGGGTACATGGATGTTCTTTTATTATTGCTCTTTAATTGTGTGTGTGTTTTCCACACATTCACATGAATAATATATTACTCAATCAAAAATAACTTAGGGATAGACAGTAACATAACACATTCAAAATAATCAAATAATCAAGCTATTATTACTGAAAGCAAAAACAAGACAGAGATGCTCACTATTGCCATTATTATCCCAATTATTATCCCAACATTGTTTTGAGAGTTTTAGCTAATGTAATGAGACAAAAAATAAAATAAAAAGAAATACTGGGCATAAACAATAAAAAAAGCTAAATGACCCAATCTTGGCTAATGAAATTGTTAATGTAATTTCAAAATCCAAAAATGCTAGTGGGGGGTGGGGGATACTATATTAACGAGAGACCTCGGGGCACCTGGCTGGCTCAGTCAGTAAAGTGTGTGACTCTTGGTCTTGGAGTTGTGAGTTTGAGCCCCACATTGAGCACAGAGATTACTTCAAAATAAAATCTTTAAAAAAGATGAGAGACCTTGGGGCATCTGGGTGGCTCAGTTGTTAAGCGTCTGCCTTTGGCTCAGGTCATGATCCCAGGGTCCTGGGATCGAGCCCCACGTCAGGCTCCCTGCTTGGTGGGGAGCCTGCTTCTCCCTCTTCCACTCCCCCTGCATTCTCTCTGTCAAGTAAATAAAATAAAATCTTAAAAAAAAAAAAAGATAAGGGACCTTGATAAGGTTTCTGATTATAATACAAAATAAATAATTTTCTCCATTCTATAAAAAATCAGCTAGACATGGAAATTGGAAGACATGTTTCCATTCACAATAGAAACTCAAAATGGAAAACTATTTAGGAACAGATTTAACAATGAAGAACTCATGTAAGATTTTATTCAAAGGCATAAGGCAAGATCTAAACAAATGGAAAGGAAGTACCAAGATCATGGGTATTAAGATTTTTACGGGGTACCTGGCTGGCTCAGTCAGTAGAACACGCAACTCTTGATCTCAGGGTTATAGGTTCGAGCCTCATGTCGGGTGTAGAGATTACTTAAAAATAAAATAAATAAAAGATACTTACAACAAAAATATGTCAAGTCACCCAAAATTAATGTATACCTTTAATGCAATTTTATTTTATTTTTTAAAAGATTTTATTTATTTATTTAAGAGAGAGAGCATGAGCAGGGGGGAGGGGCAGATGGAGAGGGAGAAGCACACTCCCCACTGAGCAAGGAGCCCATGCCCAACTCCATCCCATGAACCTGGGATCATGACCTGAGCCGAAAGCAGATGCTTAACAGACTGAGCCACCCAGGCACCCCATTTAATGCAATTTTAATGAAGATTCCAACAGGGTTGAATTTTCTTCATGGACACAATTACTTTAAAGTCCATGTAGGTGAATAAATGTCTAAGGATATACTGGAAAATTATGAAAAATAATTGTGAGGAGGCTTACCTTGTCATATATTAAAATTTGCTACAACAAAAAAACAAAAACAGAAAATTAAAACAAAACCCAAAACCACGTTTTTTAAGTTTTTAAAAGCATACCATAAAATGACTGTAATCCAAACAGTATGATGTTATGATAAGAATGAGCAATAGACCCATGCATGAAACAGAATGGAAAAGCCTGAAATAAATCCAACCATTTTCACATACAACAAAGGTGGAATTTAATTCAGATGAAAAGATGGTTTATTTAGGGGCGCCTGGATGGCTCAGTCATTAAGCATCTGCCTTCGGCTCAGGTTATGATCCCAGGGTCCTGGGATCGAACCTCGCATTGGGCTCCCTGCTCAGTGGGAAGCCTGCTTCTCCCTCTCCCACTCCCCCTGCTTGTGTTCCCTCTCTCACTGTCTCTCTCTGTCAAATAAATAAAATCTTAAAAAAAAAAATCTTTAAAAAAATAAAAATAAAAATAAATTTTTTAAAGGTGGTTTATTTAATAATGCAACTGAATATCCACATAGCAGAAAATAGTTCAATCTTTATCTTACAACATTAAATTTTAAGGCAAACTCAGTCAAAAACATAAGAAAAAAACTCTCTAGAGAAAAATCTAGGAGGCTCTTCATATAACTTGAGAGCTGAGGAAATTATTTTAATCAAAATGAGAAACCTAGCTCCTTCCTCGTTAGTATAGTGGTGAGTATCCCCGCCTGTCAAAATGAGAAACCCAAAAAGTATAAAAGTAAAATTCCACGTTTCTACTACATAAAAAAAGTAACACATCAAAACAATACAAAGTAGACAAAGAATAGATTGGGGGAAATTTTTGCAATGTGGATGACAGATAAGAGGTTAGTATCTGTAATATACAAAAGGCATTTACAAATTTATATTTAAAAAACACAAATCGGGGGACACCTGGGTGGCTCAGTCAGTTAAGCATCTGCCTACACCTCGGGGCATGATCTCAGGGTCCTGGGATCGAGCCCCACATTGGGCTCCCTGCTCAGCTGGGAGTCTGCTTCTCCCTCTCACTCTCCCTCTGTGACCCCAAATAAATAAATAAAATCTTATAAAAAACACAAATCGGGGGCACCTGGGTGGCTTGATCAGTTAAGCGGCGGACTCTTGATTTCAGCTCAGGTCATGATCTCAAGGTCCTGGGATGGAGCCCTCTGCTGGCCTCCATGCTCACTGGGGAGTCTGCTTCATGATTCTCTCTCTCCCTCTCCCCCCCCCCACCTTCCCTCCTGCTCTCTCTCTCAAATAAATTAATCTTTTTAGAAAAACACACAAATTGTTCAACCCTATCCTCACAGGCACTATATATTTAATGTCTCCAAAGATGCTTTCAGTATCTTAACAGTATGCTTTTGTTGGTTATTTAACTGTTCTGTAGTATGTTTGTTTTGTTGCGTTTTGTAATTAAGACATAATTGACATACAACATTATATTAGTTTCAAGTGTTCAACATAATGATTTGGTCTATGTATATACTGATGACGGGCAGGCGACTGGGCTGGAGAAGGAGAGGTTTTGATGGCTACACAGAAGGGACTGGACCCATACAAGATGCTAGCCCCAAAGGCAGCTTCGGGCACCAAGGAAGACCCTAACTCAGTCCCCATCTCTCACCAACAAGTGAAGAGTAGGCTGCATCCGTGAGGAGGACGACACTGCCATCATCCACTTCTGGCTGCACAAAAGTGAGACCCAGCGATGCCCTAGCTATGGAACCCATGACAAGCTGGGGCCCTACCAGTTGCCCCACTGAACCTTGGCACTAACTTACTCAAAACGTGCTGTTTTAAGTTTCTTCTTTCCAGTAAAGACTAGCCATTGCATTGGCTGCTTCTCCCACAAAATAGATATATGGATATAGATCGTGAAATGATTACCACAATAAGTGTAGTTAAAGTCCATCCCTACACCTAGCTGAACAAATTTCGTTCTTGTGATGAGAACTCTTAAGGTCTACTCTCTTAGCCACTTTCAAATATGAAGTACAGCATTGTTAACCATAGTCACATCTCCAGGACTTACTTATTTTGTAACCAGAAGTTTGTACCTTTTAACCCACTTTACTCATTTCACCCAGCGCCAGCCCCCACCTCTGGCAACCACCAATCTGTTCTCTGTATCAGTGAGATCAGCTTTGTTTTGATGGTTTTTTTAGATGCCACATATAAGTGAGATCATATGGTATCTGTCTTTCTCTGTCTGAGTTATTTCACTTAGCATAATGGCCAGAAGGTTCAGGCGAGTTATTGCAAATGGCAGGATTTCCTTCCTTTCTATGGCTGAACGGGGTGTGTGTGTGGGGGGGGGTGACATTTTCCTTATCCATTCATCCATTAATGGACACAGGTTGTTTCCATTTCTTGGCTACTGTAAATACTGCTGCAGTGAACACGGGGTACAGATACCTTTTCAAGATAATGTTTATTGTTTCCTTTGATAAATCCCCAGAAGTGAGACTGCTGGATCATATGTCAGTTCTAATTTTTATTTTTTGAGGAACCTCCATACTGTTTCCATAGTGACTGTACCAGTTTGCATTCCCACTGACAGTGCACAAGGTTCCTTTTTCTCTACATCCTCGTCAACACTTGTTATTTCTTGTCTTTTTGAGGATCGCCATTCTAACAGGTGTGAGGTGAGATCTCATTGTGGTTTTGATTTGCATATCCCTGACGATGAGTGATGTTGAGCATGTTTTCATGTCCTTGGCGGTCAAATGTATGTCTGTAGTATGTTTATGATATAGGAACGTCATGGGAAAAATGTTTTTCAATATATTTTTTGAAACTTCTTTTTCCATGTGAAGTTTATTCCTTGTGAAATTTTTCCCATGAATCACGCTCTCTCTCTCTCCTTCCTTGTTTGTTTTATGCAGCAGAGTGAGTCCTAGAATAAAACCAAGTGTTTAGCTCACACTACTTGGAACCTAAGATCACAGAGTGGCATTCCTGTTCTGTTTTTAACTTTCTTATTGGCTATTTCATTTTATCACCCCTGCTTTAATATAGTTTCTACAAATTCATCACAGGCTTTATGATTTAATGCAAACACTCCGGCTTGAGAACAGGAAGCAGGGGGAGGAAGGGAGAGAGCTAGAGCCAGTTTCTACTCACAATATGACTTAATATGCTATTGTTTCTGATCCTAAAGAGGACAGAGATCCTAATAAACTTAAGCATGGGATTTATCCCCTTAGGAGAAATGCTCACATTAAGTTAGAGAAATGAATGCCACCAGTTATGGATTGATGGGGTTTAAAAAAAAAAAAAAAAAAGAACTCACAGAAAGCTTGTGCAAACATTTCTCACAGGATAATTGATTTCTAAAGGTTGAGTATAAGTCCACATCAGCTTGAGGATTCTTTTGATGATTCAACAAAGTGATATCAAATCAGGGAAATTGAAACTTACCTTTCCCTGACATTTATTTCTCTCTGATCCAGTTTTCTCCCTAGAGTCTGGTGTATCAGGAAATTCTGTTAACATACCGACCCAACACGGTCAGCCCAGGAACAACTGTTTTCTGTAAATACAGAGGGTACCATTAGTGTTAACAGAATACTGAATGGTAAACACTCCCCTAAATCATGATGGAAGCTCTGAACCAAATTAATGACACTGAACCATTTGCTGAGTAGCAGAGACCATAAGCAGCCACTCAGGTTTTACTTCCTAAGAGTTACAGTCTTGCTGCTTCTAAAGTCGGCTCTGGTTTGGTTTGGTTTGGTTTCTGGTTGGAAAGGTTACTTCGGTAAAGCACATGTTTTCTCCTAGCATTGTTTGTGGGGTACCTGGCTGGCTCAGTCCGTAGAGCATGCGACTCTTGATCACGGGGTTGTGGGTCCGAGCCCCACGCTGGGTGTAGATATTACTTAAAAATAAGATCTTTTTGGGCGCCTGGGTGGCTCAGACGGTTAAGCGTCTGCCTTCGGCTCAGGTCATGATCCCAGAGTCCTGGGATCGAGTCCCGCATCGGGCTCCCTGCTTCTTGGGAGCCTGCTTCTCCCTCTGCTTCTCTCTCTGTCTCTCATGAATAAATAAATAAACAAAATCTAAAAAAA